GGTGGTTCCGGTCAGTGGCGTGGCGAAGTGTTTAAATGTAATTCGGGAAAATAATAAGTTCTAGGAACACCCATCTACCCACCCACCCACAACACTTAACCGCGTCCGTCCCATCATCCACGTACCCTATAATAAAATATCATTTACCCATGTTTAACATTCAATTTCGATTTTTTCTACGTTTCGTTCTTAAAAGGACATCGCACCCACATGTATTGTCTCCACCTTACACACGAACGGCATACTAAATTTTCGTTTGCTAGTTTCAATAGGGGGTGGTCAGTTTTCATATTAAAGTAATAATTGGCTTACAATCAAACTTTTAAGTAACAACATTATCTGTGTTCTTTTGTTGGTTTTTTACGTTATTTTAATTCTTAAGTGAGTTATAAATAGGTAAACCATTAATATTTGAAACGCTCATAATTCACTTAAAATTTAAAATACCCTAAAAACCAAATAGAGAACATAGATAATGTTGTTACTTAAAAGTTTGATAATAAGTCAATTCACTCCAATATCAAAACTAACAGCACACTATTAAAACTGGCGAACGAAAATAATATGGTATGTCGTCCGTGTGTAAGACGAAGACAACACGTGTGCGACGTCCTCATAATTATTAGTTTAGTAATATACCATTTGCAGAAGGTTAATCATAAACGTATGTGTAATATTATGTGTTTGTTAATATAATGTACCTTTTACACCTCTCATCACCTATACAAAAAATACCAGGAAACGTCCCCTCGTGACCGCGGTAACCACACGCTACCGTGCAGGTATGTATAATAATAATATGATACCTACGTGGCTACGTACGAATTAGGCTTAAAACATTTACGTATTTTTATTGTTTAGTTATTTTAGCACTAAATGTTATGGAAATATTTACCAAACAATGTTAATAATGTTGTTAAGTCGGTAAAAATAATTTAATAATTTTGTTTAATATGTGGTAAGTATATCTTGTATCCTAGTAATCGATTTGATAAACCGATTTGTTATTTCAAAAATGGCACACATAATAATTGTTTATTAATAAATAATAATTATAGTGAATAATATCGTGCAAAGCCTATAGAGTATGAAATTTATCTTTATAATATTTAAAATAGTAATAGAAAAACGTAGCGTAGCAAATGAATGTATTGTGTTGACATTTATGAATGATTTTTTTTCTGCCATCAATATTGGAGTACTAAAAATGCTCTGATTTTCCAACTCAGCATCTTTTATAATAGAAAAGTGAATGTAGTTGGTGCATTCTGGAGGTCAAAATTGAAAATTCCCATTAAGAATGTGTTGCTTTTAGAAAGCGTTGGGTGGGGGAAAGGGTCAAAGAATTTTTACTCAAAACTAATTGTTGAAAAAATCGATATCATTTTTTGAGAGTAACTCAAATACTAATAACCCTACTTGAACCTTTCACCAAATATTTATATAAGCATTTTCCAAGCACTGTAACATTTCAAAAATATTTTTACTCTTTTTGAAATATGCATATGGCCAAGAGTAATTTTTGAATTTTGTAAATGTTTACAATACAAGGGTTCTCATAAGTTGCTTTAATATCAGTTCAGAAATATTAAAGATACATAGATACGATTATTTTTTAAATGCATTTAAAGATCAAATTTTGTCAAGATTCATCAAATCCCGATCATTTTTTAAAATATTTTTCAGTTATTTTTTTTTAAATATTGAATTTGATTATTTATACAATTATTATTTATAGAAGAACACAACGTCCCCCCTTAGAATAGTATTTATTATTCAATGATTTATCATTAAATTCAAATATAACACATCGATTTCAATGGCATATGCTCGACAACTACTATACAGCAAAGCGATGCTCACTTACATCATAATTAAATATATAATTTACAGATAACACCTCTCGTACCTTTATGTATGGGAAACGAAATTAACGTTCTTGCCGTTCGATTATTACATCGTGTTGACTTTTTAATACGGATGAACAATACCTAAAAACTATTAAAGCAAATATGACGAAAACAATATTTCTTTTGCAATGTTTTGAATTTCCATATTTTAATTAAAAGCAAGAACAAAAGTTGATTAAACAATTTCTAAAAATTACCAGAAAATGTTAAAAAATGCAAAACAAAAGTATCACCTTTGAAGTATCTGTTACATGACACGAATTGTGTTCCTGGAATGCATTTTCGCAGCCCTAGAGCACCCATGAAATAATGCACTTTGTAATGAAATACGACACTTCATTAATGTAAATATGTACGACTGGTCGTAGTAGTTACCCGCTTAGGAAATCGAGGATAAAAATCATTGTACATCACTCATGTTTAAATCGGTATTATAGTAAGTTGTTGACGGTACTGGCAAAAACAACATCACTTTAACCGCGCTGGATTGCATTTGCTGTCCGGGTGGGAATACAATATTATTATTATCATGCAAATCGTGCAAAGTGCTCTCATTTCGTCGTCTCTCACACTGCACTCAAATTACTATCGGTACCAAGCACCCTCCTATACGGGCCTTACATTAATGCCATCGTCGTCCCACGCTTAATTTGTTATCATATATTGGCTTTTGCTTGGTGTGAACCACTCGTCCGGACCGCAGGTTGTAGTTGACGCGTTTGGAAAAGTTTTTTACACCCTCGCCTCGTAATCTGAGCTCTCCGAAGGTAGGTGATCCGCTCTAATAACTCCACGCATACTCGGAGATGTCAAAACAAGCTACTTGAGAAAGCTGATGTAGGTTCGTCAAGTAGTTTTCTTTACATTTTTATTCCACACGACAGGAGGCCTCAGTTTGAGTTTAGGCGTCCGTCTTAAAAATTAGAAATTCGTGGAGACATGCGCATGCAAAAAAAATCTCTGTCAAGGGTAGCAGTTGTTGTTGACGTTTCCCTCCCCCCCCCATCGTCCGAGATGATTTTTACACACTCTCTTCGTAATCTGACCGGAAGCTATCTCCTAAGGCAGGTGATCCACGCTACTAACTATTCACACATACGTTTAGATGTCAACATTTTTAATCGAACAGAAAACTCTCCATTCAGAAAAACTGATGAAAGTTACAAGTATTTTTCTTTACATCTTCACTCGCCGTGTGGTTGTTTGATTTTACGATTTTTGTAATATAAAATAAGAATTTCGTTGGGTCACGAAAATTAAAAATAAAAAAATCTCGGATTTTTTTTTTAAATCTACGAGAATATAATATCATCTAATTTATTTAATATGACTTTTTATGATGGGTGTTTTTTTTGTCTAGTCCAATCCTTTTTTACGATTCCTAGATACACCCCTGGAGGGATAGATATTAAAGGAATTAAAATTATTTTTATTTGGCTTGCCGTGTGCCAAACATGTTATAGCATCGAAAATAGCGCCCTAGCTGGCTTATTGGAATATAATTAATTTTTTGTTCAGTCGGTAGAGTGTCTTATTTATTTTTTTGTCATTATTAAATTTGATTATTTGTGTGCTAGAATCACGACACACCGTCTCCGTTCAGAATCGTTTTTTATATGCAATGGTTCATCGTTGAATTCAGATCAAACACATCCTTTACAATGACATACTCAACCACTACCATATACAGTAGAGTGGTACCCATTTCTCCACCTTTTTTAGATAAAAAAGTAAAAAATATAGGTACAATTTTCGACGGTAAAAAGAAAATTGAAAAAAAAAATTTTAAAATCGGAAACATTTTATGTTTGAATTTTCTTTTTGGAGTTCGGATTTATTATTGAATTTCGATCTCAACTTTTTGTTCAAGTTTATAAAAACACTTAAAATTGGTTTGATTTTACCAACTTCAAACAGTCCTACCCACCTCTAGTTCACACATTTATATTGCACACTTCAAATAATATGATTTTTTTTTTGTGTGTGCTTTTTGTCCCTATATTACAGACGGTCCTGCTCACGTCAGACAACACGCCACACTCACAATGTATATCACAATGTCACAATGTAAATCGACTAATTTAAAAATAATTATCCACTAAGTATGCTTTACAATTCTAACAATTAATATGCAATGAACTATATTTGTAGTTAAACAAATGGTTATTGAGTTAGTTATGATAAGTTGTACAGAACATTAATTGTGTAATAATACAGTTGTACTGTGGTATACGGAAAAATGCATATTCCTAGGAACTGATTAAATAATATTTTTTATAATAATAATATAGTGGGGACTGGAATTTTTTTTGAATATATCGGTATCGGTTCCGGTACTGCTTCTCCAAAAATAAAATAACCCTTCCGGTTCGGTTCTGGTTTTTTGATAAAAAAAAAAAAATAAAAGTATCGTTCAAAATAATTTCGGTACCGGTTCCAGATAATTTGGTACTGAAAAGTAAAGTCATTTTAAATACTTATCCGGAATGCGGGTTTAATTAATAGTACGAGAAAATATATAAGAAAACTCATATGATCGTACATAATTTATACACAAAACAGTAATACCATTAAATTATGATAAATAAAATTATTTTATTTTTGAACCTAAAAGAACCTTTTTAAGTTAAAAATTTAGGTTCGGATCCGGTACTTAATTTATTAAAATATAGGGTTCGGTTTTTAATATTTTAAATGTTCCTGTTCCAGAACCAGTTATTTTAGGTTTGGTTCAAGTTCTTATAATATAGGTACGTCGTTTATATCGTACATTCATACATATAATGTTTAACAAATGAAAAAACATTTTTAAACTTAGATACAACTCTAAACTTTAAAGGTTCATTTTAACTACATTTACAACTAATAAAGTTAAAAAATGATTTTATTCTTAACTGATAAGAAAATATTAATAATAATATATTATGTATTTCCTAAAAGTCATTATATAACTACTATTATAAAATAGGTTATAATACTTATTAGGATACATCCTAATAACATACAAAGAACAATTTTAATAAAAACATTATCAGGTGTGTATTCATCCAAATCTTATGTAAAACTAATAAACTGTATGGTAGTACTCACTTGTTGTTTAGTGATGTAGATTGGTTTGTTTAGTATTAACCAGGTAACGGTTTCGTGACACGCGGGAACTGTGGTAGAGCCGTCATACGTCATGTAGTAATGGGTGGCGGGCAACAGATCGGCGACTGACAATCGTTTCACAGGAACTTCCTCACCTAAATGCAGACACAGTAATAGTACTTACAAAGCGTGTAAGCGGGTTCTCGAGTCAAGGACGGGTAAGTACCGTCCAGTGAATATTTGATGATTTTCAAGTACCCTTTATGGGGCCTTATTAAGCCTTATATATGGTCAAGTTCCTCGATGCGTGTATTAGTGTTATTACTTGTTACAACTAAGGTTGACATCAGTGGGTATGATTTGAATGATTTTTTTAACAAGTTCTATGTCGTATATTATAGTTGTATACATGTATGATTTCAAATTTGAATAGTAATTTTGAAATAAACCCATAGTTGTAACACTTGTAACGTATAAAGTATACTTTTGAATAGTAAATATGAACTGCCTAACTTTTTTTTCAAATATGCATGAATATTATAAATTATAATAAGAGATCTATAAATAAAAGCTAAACAATTGAATTTGTAATTTAAAAATTATTACTCTTAATCAAAACTTAACCTAACCCACGCCCTCCCACCGTCAACACCTGCCGAAATGTAATTTTTTTCAAACTCAGGACCCCCTCCTTCTATCCACCAATGAAAATAAATCTCGGTTGTGCCTTGGATATTTTGGTATGGATATTTTGTCCATGGTCATTTTGACCGATTACCGATATTATATTATAACATTACGGGTATACCAGCTATGGTCTTAAACGTCCATACAGAATAGACGAATGTACGAAAATGTACTCATATATTTTACCCAACTCATAAAATTTAAAACAAAGACATCAAGGAAAGTATAATATTTTATCTCAAAAGGTAATATTATTATCGGACGAGTCTGTATTATTTTTATCGTTTACAACAATATAACTAGATAAGTATAAGTATGTTCGGTAAGAGGCGAAAACATCAATCTCTATTAAATATTAATATCAAACAGTTGGATATGTTGTACTTCTTATATAGCTATCAAACCTACTCTCTGAACTCGAAAAGTGTGTGGTCGGATTTTTTTGAGATTGTTAAAATCTAATTTATTATACTATTGATGATAACGACAGTAAATATTATTTATATACATTCGATCTTTTTTCTTACCACTATATTTGATCATGTCCAAATGATCTGTGAGTATTCGTAATTCTGGATTTGATAAATCTCCAAGCTGTAAAAAAAAAAAAAAATATTTGGTACTGTAACAATAATAAATATAAATATGTTACATGACACCTATATATATATATATATAATACGAACTCTACCGTATGTACGACCTATACATATTAGAACACACACATAATTGTAAGGCCTATGGGCAATACACACAATGTATTAGTAAGTTAGTTCACTGTGCACCTTCTACCTCATCACACAATACGATTACTGGACTTCGTAGGACTACTATATAGTCACATAGTATAATGGAACCATAGTTGATATATTTGTGAGTATCAGTATTTGTAAGTGTTTAAAATATTATTATAACTGAAATAAAATCCTAGTAATTTAAATATATTTAAGATCCTGATATCTACTATCTACATATCTACCTCTGTCTACGGTATTTATATCTATAGGATCCATATGATTCTCCCTGGATATCTTATATTCAACTGGTCGTTCAACCGACCACGTTACAGTACAATTAGTTTAATTGTATTTTTCGTTCATAAAAGTTTTAATTTATTAAAATATTTATTTCGTTTAATTTTTCCTCATAAATTATGTACACAAATTGCATGCTATTTACCATTATTATAGTATAACATTATGCTGAAAAAAATTTGCATTCCTCATGATGCTTATATTTATTTGTATAGCACACAATTTGATGAAAAGTTCATGAAAAAAATAAAATCAATTGTGTCTATTCACGGTGGATTAATCAATCTAAAACTATGTATTGAATATTTAACTAATGTGGAAGATTATGATTTCAACAATAGGAATTAAAAAAATAATTGACTAGTTTATGGGTTTTTTGTGTGGGTGTCAAAAATACAATAGTGGCGTTATTGAGGTCATTGGTGGTCAAACTGGAAGGGGTGAGGGGGTTAGGTCCCCAATAGTAGCGATTGGAAAGTTCCATATAAAAAGGAAATCGTTCCGTTCCTATTGTTTCTTAAAAAAAAGAATTCGTTCCTTCGTCGTTCCTATGGAAAATGAACCAGTTCGTTTTTAGTTCCAAATAAAATAAAAATTCTTATTTTATCATTAATGTTTTTTTTTTCATATGCATACCTACTTCTATAATTTTTAATTATAATATATACATATTTTATAATTTTCTTTTGAGATTTTCTTCAAAATGAAATTGTTGACGTATGATGGCTGTCTTATAGTTTGTGTTATAAATAATTATATTTTATATACTAGGTATCATTTCTATATATATTTTAACTTATACCTTATGAGATATATTAATAAAGTGACTAATGAGTAACTGTTAACGTCGATTTTCGATAACGATCACTAATTGGCAATATACAATATACACATTAAAAAGAATACACCTTAATTTCAATTATTTACATATCTGTGTAAATTATTGGAACTAGAAAGAAACGAAAAATGTTGTTATTTTTCCTTGAAAAAAAAAATTCGTTCTAGGAATCCGTTCCTTTTGGAACTCGTTCCTTCCAAACACTGCCCAAACGTTCCAATAGCCTTTTTTCAATATTTCCGATCTTATAATCATCAATTATATCTTTAATGATCAAAAAGATTATGTTAACAAATCAGCCACATCTCCCAATGACTAAATAATTTGACAACCACTAGTATTATGTGGTGAAAAATAGAGACAGGCAAACATTATAATATGAGGTTATTGAAAGAAAAATTAAATTAAACCGAACATCATTAAATGAAGGGTTTGCGTAAACGACATTGATTACGGTTGGTAACTGTTGGATGCTGTAAATCTGTTGAACGGTGCACACACATCCAACGAATAGAAAATTAAGGGACAGGGATCGCTGATGTTACGAATTGTCAAAAAAATGTAAAGAACTTTACAGGATTTGCAAACCTTCACATTAATGTTGAACGATGTTGGCGTCTAAAAAATACCGGTGAAGATACTTTTGACGTTTTTTTAAAAGACGTTAAGATAATACATAGTAAATATGTAAAAATATTCGAGTGAATAAAACGATAAAATGTTTTCAATAAATAAAATGTATTTATGTACATTTATGAAAGTATACTATAATATAACATAACTAATATAATAATATTATGTAGCGTGATGATTAATGTTATTAAGTTCTAATTAAAAAGAGTGGTTAACCACATAGGTACGACTCGTGAAAACGTGTGGTGCACCGCATACGACAAGAATGCCCTTTTCGACATACCTACCTACCATATAGTATGACTATAGTATTGTTTATCATGTGCAATACCGAACAAATGATTGTTTGTACTGTTAATAGACTCGACTCGAGCTGAATGTGATACAAAAATGTATAAATATTATATTATTATTTTGGGTGGTTCACTTCCGCGCAGTAACTCAATATCAACTCTTGATAGTTGAACGTATTAAAGTGAGGTAGGTACCTACGACCTACATATCGATGCCATTTTGTTTATCATGTCATGGATAATGTTTTGTGTTAACTTCACGTGGACATCGAATTGACGACCGACCACTTAAAAATAACGAATACTCTAGGTTGAAGTGCACGCATTTACTAAGTATGGCTATCATACTTGTAGTACGTACATTACACAGCATATTAATAATAATATTATTGTTGTGTTGTAGATAACAAATTATTGTTGTTGGTAAATATTATATTATGGATATCGATTTCGTGTCAATGTAATATTGTATAAACATTTGAGAATTTATGATATTCCTATATAATATTATTATACTATACTCTTTTTCCAATATTATAGTATTTTAATGATCAATAAACAGCTGAACACCGCAGCAGTAGTGGCACCTACATATTATTTTTATTTTTCAACGACATGTTTAAGTGTTTCATTTGTGGCGGCTTTGGCACTCGTTATTTTCTAGTGCATTATTTTGCACCCTAAAACACAAACCGTCTCCCGAAACATACAATACATGAATGCATTTGGCATGCTTAAGACTCGATGAATTCAATAATACTGCACTAGTCGATAAAGAGCATTTACACAGTATATGGGTAGTGGGTACTATTTCTAAATGGACTGTTTTATTGGTTTGACAAATATTATCCTCAGTATATTATACTTGTACTGGGTGATTAACAAACGATTTATTAACTCTCATTTTAATTTGATAATTTATTTATTCAAATTCTGGTTTTGGAATTTTTAAATAAACCCAAAGACCATATTTTCACACATTCTTGAGTTTTTTACTAGGTTCTTGAACACTTAAAATAGTATCCTGGGGTGATACAATCTTCTGCATTTTAATGACAACACTCCATTTTACTATAAATTATTTAATGGATATTTTGTTTGAAAATTTGTATGTATACATTTTATGTATATATACCTAATTAAAAACTAAAACGAATACATTTTCAGTTATTTAAGTGTTTATAATTTATAACTATAATAGTCCTTAAAAATGGTCTTACAAAAATATGAAGTATGGTAATATCAGATAAAGTATTTATTATACTTGGTCCATTTTTATATATTATAAATATTTATAGATTAATATCAATTTCTAAAATGTTAAAATCGCTATAGCCACCCTACTACCTTCCAAGCTCATTATCATGAACTAATTATCAGTGGCACTAACGTTGGAACTAAGTGTTTTACAGTTTTAGTATATAAATAATAGATTTATTAGGAGTGGAAAGGTAATGCAGGGGGGTGGGTTAGACACTCGATACCCCCCCTGCCTATGCCACTGTCTATTAAAAGTTAAATAACATAAAAATTACTATCGATTCCCTGTTTAAATTTAAAATTATATAATTATGTATATTGTACAATCTATCATACTCAATGGTTATATACTTATATCTAATGCAGATAGTTATTTTAATAATTTTATACTACATATTAATGTACACAATATAAAATCAATAATAGTATATAGAAACATTTATATGAAATCATAAACGATGATATTAATAGGCTATGACTACTACGCATGCAATAAGCTGTAAAGGTAATTGAAACGTTTCTTTTTTGCCGTTCGTCATAGTTGATAAGAATTGATCTGTAATATTTCAAACCCTCCAAATAAAAATAATATATCAATCGTTTGGATACGGACTACGAAAATGTGACACGTAACATGAATACATTAACTAGAATAAACTTTAGGATCGCAAACTTGTAATTGAATCAAAACAAAAATGTCAAATTGAATTGTGTATAACGTTTGAGATAAGCAATTCCTCTCTTCATAATTCAATTTATAAATAATATTGTAATGACTAATTATAATTTTGCCTTCAATACGAAAATATTGTACAATCGTGCACTAGGGCAAAACTGCGCTATAAAAAAAAAGGGTGGAATCGTATATATGAACTATGTAATAAGATCGAATAATAATCTACATTACACCAAACGGTTTGTTCAGGCAAAAATGTTATTTATAAAGTTAATAGGACAACAAATGAATTAATTTATTCACTATGACCCGGTGGGGCACCGTAAATGTCCGGAAAATAATAAGGCGGACTGTAAAAATCCGGAATTTTTCCGTAATGTCACGGACCGTAAAAATCCGGAAAAAAATTCCCAAGAAAAGTAAATATACGGACCGTAAATTTACGGAATTCAAAAATATTGAACCATAATATCACGGACTGTGATGTCCCGGACTTTAAATTACAGGACCGTAAAATACCGGAAAGCAAAAATACATGCTCCGTAATATCACGGACCGTAAATATCCGGAATTTGCTAATACGACATGAGCGCTATCTAGTAGCATACATAATTATTTGTTATAGAAATACTATTTACCATTTGATGTCTTTTTTAGTTTTTAATTTTTGTGTCTTTCATCACTCTTTGGGGGCTTAGCATTGGCGCTATTTCATGTTATGGTGAAAAAATGCTGGTGTTAGACCCACCTACTTAAAAATAGTGCATTAAAGTCACGATATCCTGCCTTTAAATATTAAATACCACTAATAACTGATGACTTATTATAAAAATATAAAATATTCAATATTTATAGCTAAGTATTGAAAATTTAAAACAATGATTCTAATAAATAGTTCAGACTATTACCAAAGATAAATAAATGATATTATGAAACACAGTTATTTTTTACAGACATTTTAAATTTAAATTTCGATGAAAGTACATATTAAAACTAAGAATAACGATTTTAGTTATTTTGTTGTAATTTAAAAATATTACTCTTGTATACCTATATGAAACTTTTATAGTGTATTATTATATTTAATACGCAATATAAGATTTTCAAATGTAAATTTTTTGGAAAAAATGAATATAACCTACCGTTGTACCTATATACTAATGCCCAATACTACAATTATTATTAATTAGGTACTTTAATCACAATAATATCATAAAAATATACCTACTTAGTAATATTATAGTCTGATAGACCGTCTTCCCTCTGAACCGTTATTCCTGCACAATGGTTTTATATCATTGCATTCAAATTTAACATCACCCACTTGTAACCTACTGTACAGCAGAGCGACATCCACTTTCCCACTTTTTTATATTTTTGTTCTAAAAATTAAAATATTTTCATTGCTTCAATACCAATCCTACTTATCCTAGTATTCTAATATATAA